CGTCGCATCTCGTTTCGATGTTCTTTTCGCACGAGGTTTTTTACCTCCAAATAATTCTTACTTTTATTGTAATATTTGAATGATGTTTTTTATATATCATACATCGGGCCTAGGGCGGCCTCCTAATCCCTTATGTGTCTGTCCACAATGTTATTGATAGGCATTACGCGAATCTAGACGTTAAAAACCTCGATATCGATGTTCAAATCGTCGATATTTTCTAGATATTTAGGTATTAAAACGTCGTGAATGGACTAGCGGGTGAAAAGAGATAAAAACGCAGTGAACGCAAGAGTCGACGGGTGCAATCATACCAGCACTAATGCATCGGATCCCATCAGAACTCCGCAATCAAGCGTGCTTGGGCGAAAGTAGTACTAGGATGGGTGACCTCCTGGGAAGTCCTCGTGTTGCACCCCTTTTTCTTTTCCTTTTGTCGTCGCATCTCGTTTCGATGTTCTTTTCGCACGAGGTTTTTTACCTCCAAATAATTCTTACTTTTATTGGAATATTTGATTGATGTTTTTTATATATCATACCTCGGGCATAGGGCGGCGTCCGAATCCCTTATGCGTCTGTCCTTATTCGTTATTTATAGGCATTTCGCTAATCTAGACGTTAAAAACCTCGATATCGATGTTCAAATCGTCGATATTTTCTAGATATTTAGGTATTAAAACGTTGATATCGATGTTTCAAAAACATCTATATTTCAGCAACCCAGATCTCTATGTTTTAAAACACCGATATCGATGTTTCAAAACATCGATATTTTGGCAACTTAAATCTCTAGGTTACCGAACATCGATATCGATGTTCCAAAACATCGATATTTTGACACTCGCTGATATGGTCTTGATATTTTGCTCATAACTTTCTTCTCCGATGTCGGAATTGGGCGGTCTTGGTGTCTTTGTGTAGCTATTAAAGAGTGCTTTCCAGTGATATATCGCACGCATAATTTGGACCTATGTGAAGAAAGTTATGGGGCCCGCAAGGTGTGATTGCTGCAAGCCTTTCCGTTTTTCCTCTCGAACAACTCAGAATGCACTCGTTTCGCCCGTGGTATGTCCGTGAAAGCCATGATTGCCAACTTGGTCTATTTTAGCTCTAAAATACACCGTTTTAGATTTATTTTCGTCCAAATACGTGAATATACCTGGAATCACATCAAAGACCAAAAGAAAACGGTTTTTGTGCCTAAAATGCCATCTAATTCCTAAATTTGTGCGGAATAGAGGAGTGAAATGCACCTAAAATGTCAAAATACGGTGTCATCAGCCGTAAACGGATTAGCGGGTGAAAAGAGATAAAAACGCAGTGAACGCAAGAGTCAAGGGGTGTGATCATACCATCACTAATTCACCGGATCCCATCAGAACCCCGCAGTCAAGCGTGCTTGGGCGAGAGTAGTACTAGGATGGATGACCTCCTGGGAAGTCCTCGTGTTGCACCCCTTTTTCTTTTTCTTTTGTCGTCGCATCTCGTTTCGATGTTCTGTCTGCTCGAGGTTTTTAACCTCCAAATAATTCTTACTTTTATTGTAATATTTGATTGATGTTGTTTATATTTCACACCTCGTTTCGGGTTAACGGAGACGATAACTATTGTCTTGTTTGATGAATTCTAATGCAATACCCAGTTGCACGTGTCACGCCATTTTTTCCATCGGATCTCGTTCCACCGATGTTCGTTTGTTCGGCATGGGTTTGTTATGTTGTTTGTTCTAGGCGGAAATGGTACGAGAACCAAACTGTTGAGAAAAAACTGGAGAACTCGGATTTCGCGGCTATATTTTGCGGGGTCAAGAGTGGCAAAAGGCCGTGAACGGGGTAGCGGGTGAAAAGAGATAAAAACGCAGTGAACGCAAGAGTCGACGGGTGCAATCATACCAGCACTAATCCATCGGATCCCATCAGAACTCCGCAGTAAAGCGTGCTTGGACGAGAGTAGTATTAGGATGGGTGACCTCCTGGGAAGTCCTCGTGTTGCACCCCATTTTATTTTCCTTTTGTCGTCGCATCTCGTTTCGATGTTCTGTCCGCACGAGGTTTTTTACCTCCAAATAATTCTTACTTTTATTGTAATATTTGATTGATGTTTTTTATATATCATACCTAGGGACCATAACCAAAATCCTTATTCGGTATTATCCAATTTAGCCCATCATAAAATTAGATAATAACCGACCGGTATCTACACATATATTAAACCCTATACTCGATTCAATACCGATGTCCAATAGGTTAAAACTGAAACCCGATCACATTTAATTGGACTTAACCGACATGACAAACCTTATTCCATAATAATCATATCCGGTCCACAATAAAAGTATAAAAACCTTACAATACTCCCACTTGGACCGTATATGAACCGAAATTATAGAATAACCGAATGAGCGCTCTTTATGTTTTGTCACAATACCGGTATTGACCCAATCTCGTCCATCAAATGTACTGATGCAGAACCAAAGGAGTATAACCGCTTTAAGGCGCAGCTAGACCCACATTTGATCACGTACATAGATACAAAAGAATGACATAGATCTGAGCATAGATGCGTAGCATAGAGATTCCACGCAAAGTGATCGACACGTGTCTATCTCTAACTAGTCCTCTTAATCGAGATCAACTTAAAACTGATATTGAATGATATAAAGTGATACTTTATTGGAACTAAATACTTAAATGTGTCATGACACAAAACGATAGCAATAACGATAGATACGAAGCTCCCACTAAATCACTACTTCCTTACCCGCAATAACACCCATGCGAGTAGTGTGCTCAAGAAAAACCTTAGGCGGTAAGCCCTTGGTTAGCGGATCCGCAATCATGGAACTTGTACCTATGTGTTCTATCGAAACAGTCCCACTTTGTATCCTTTCTCTAACAACAAGATACTTAATGCCGATGTGCTTCGACCTTGTACTACTCTTGTTATTGTTAGAGTACAGCACTGCAGAACGATTGTCACAGTATAACTTAAGTGGTCTTTCAACACCACACATAAATCGCAACCCTGTGACAAAGTTCCGTAACCAAAGTGCTTGATTGGATGCCTCATAGCATGCTACATATTCCGCCTCCATCGTTGAAGATGCCACGAGCTTTTGCTTGGCACTGCGCCAAGAGACAGTTCCACCGGCAAGGAGGAATATGTAGCCTGAAGTGGATCGAAGGCTATCGACACATCCAGCAAAATCTAAATCCGAATAACCAGTGATCTCGAGCTGGTCAGAGCGTCTGTACATGAGCATGTAATCCTTGGTTTTCTGCAGATACCTCATAACCCGTTTGGCTGCTTTCCAATGATCCATTCCCGGGTTGCTCAAGTATCTACCCAACATGCCAACAATGTATGCCAAATCGGGTCTTGTACAGACCTGCGCATACATCAAACTTCCTACTGCCGAAGCATAAGGAAATTTCTCCATCTCCTGAATTTCTAATTCAGTTTTGGGACACTGACTAAGGCTGAACTTATCACCCTTAGAAATCGGGGTATCCATAGGTTTGCATCCTTTCATGTCAAACCGCTCTAACACCTTATCGATATAGCTCTTTTGTGATATACCTAATATACCCTGAGAGCGGTCTCGGGATATTTTAATCCCTAACACAAAAGAGGCTTCATCAAGATCTTTCATCTCGAATTGCTCCGATAGAAATCTCTTGGTTTCGCGCATAAAGCCTATATCGCTTGTGGCAATCAGGATATCATCAACATATAACCAAATGATGATGAATTTGCTCCCACTGATCTTAGTGTATACACATTCATCAACCGAATTCACCTCAAAACCGTATGAGGTGATAACTTGATGAAATTTGTGATACCATTGACGAGACACTTGCTTTAAACTATAGATGGACTTCTTAAGTTTGCAAACCATTTTCTTTGTATCACCAACTACAAAGTACTCTGGTTGCTCCATATAGATAGTTTTCTCAATGTCGCCATTGAGAAAAGCTGTCTTAACGTCCATCTGATGGAGCTCTAAATCATAATGAGCTGTGAGTGCCATCAGTATCCTAAAATAATCTTTCGATGAAATTAACGTCCATCTGATGGAGCTCTAAATCATAATGAGCTGTGAGTGCCATCAGTATCCTAAAATAATCTTTCGATGAAATTGGAGCGAAAGTCTCTTTATAGTCAATACCTTCCTTCTGAGTAAATCCTTTTGCGACAAGACGAGCCTTATATCTTTCCACATTACCACGTGAATCCCGTTTAGTCTTAAAGATCCATTTACATTTAACGGGCTTCACATCCTTCGGTAATGGAACAAGATCCCAAACATCATTGTCATCCATAGATTTAAACTCTTCCTTCATGGCATTGATCCACTTTTCCGAATGAACACTTTCGATAGCTTGACTAACGGTGATAGGATCATCGTCAGTCATTCCCAATGCTATCCTCATATTCTTGGAGAAAAACTATATAATCATCCGGAATAGCGTTTCTCCTTTCTCTAGTGGATCTACGCAATGGCACAATTTTCTGAGGCAATAGTTCTTGAGGTTGCTCATGGATTTCAGGAGCGATGATTGGAGTTTCTTGATTTCTAGCTAACATCTGGAACATGTTCCAAAATGTTATCGGCTAAAATAGGAACATGGATCCTTAACTCCTGCGAAGCAGAAGTGCTATCCATTTCCTCTCCAAATATGAATTCGTCGGTCCTTTGTCCAGACTCTGTATCCTCAAAGAATGTCGCTATTCCCGTCTCAGAGATCGTTCCTTTAGTGGGATCATAAAATTTATACCCCTTTGATCTTTCCGAGTAACCAACAAAGTAACAACTCACAGTCTTGGGGTCCAGTTTCCTTTCATCAGGTCGATAAATACGAGCCTCTGCTGGACACCCGCAGACGTGAAAATGCCGCAAACTGGGACGTTTACCCGTCCACAACTCAAAAGGCGTCTTCACTGTTGCTTTGGTTGGTACTCTATTCAGGATTGACTTTCCAATTCTCTGAGCAAAACTTTTTTAAAATTTTACATATGGGCGATGGAATTGGCTTTCCAACCATGATGCACCCCAATCACCTCCTTGGCCAATCTCAAGGCTACAACGGCCTCCCGGTAATATGAAGCCTCTTCCACGGACAAGCTCTTGTCTTTCCCTTTCAACTCGAGCAACCCATCAATCTCAGCGGCATTTTGTCGAACAGAAAGCGCATAAACCGCCCGTTCCCATAGAACGGAGATGGAGGCCTTATTGGGAACGGCAGAGTTCAATCCCTAGAGTATGCGGCGAAGTGAGGCGTTAAGACCGTGCCATTTGTTAAGGGTGGTGAAAATTTGGTGCGAGCGTATGGTCCCGAGCTTGATAGCCTTATGGCTCATAGATTCGAGACAACTCTCGAGCTGGATTTTGCAATCGGACAGCAATGGCGGGTCACAGTTAGTCCAAGACGCCCATGGAAATGACTGGTGGTGATCGGGATGGTGGTCCTTCACCGACTGTGCGAAATCGACATAGCCCGTGAGATGAGGCCCTTTGTTCCATTCTCCTATAAGACCTGAAAAAACGAGATGGTAGCTGATTAAATCTGAAATATTTGAGAATTCGGGAAATGGGAAATTAGGGTTTATGAGTGGGTTACGATTGAGGATCAGGGTAGTTTTGCCGACGCCGCGAGGACCATGGAGAATGAGCGGCTGAGAAACACGGTGACGTTGGGCATGGTTGTTGACGACGGTCTCGAGAAGCGGCCTTGGAATTACCTTCCAAGCTTTGTTCACCATTGTCATATGCTTCTTCTTCTTCTTCTTCTTCTTCTTGGGTTTAAGGATCCGACCCACTCAACGATCTTACACTAGCACGCAGCAATTGGATCACTGACATTTTTTTATTTGGGAAAATGGTGAGCAATTTATTTTAATTCCACAAAAATAACATGATGTTTTTTTATAAAAAATTATAAATTTTTTAAAATTTATTTCTACGGTTGGACTGATTTTGAATAAAATTATGTATTTTTTTAAAAATAATAATAAACTGTTATTTATAGATAAAATAGAAAATAAAAATAATTATTACTTTTTTTGGTCATTTTCTTATAATTTCGTACCATTTAAATAATCAAATTATAATAATTCATATATCAGAGTTACACTTTATTCTAAAATAAATCTCAATAAGTTATATATTTAATCTTTTTAGTAGTTCACAAGTTGGACTTACCATATATACATAATATATATAGTTTAAATCATTTTAAGAAAATAAATTTGATATTTAAGTCTAATATAAATATGATTAGTTTTGGGATTGTAGATGTAGATCGGGAATATATATATATTTATGTTATTCGATTAGGTTCAGTCTTCTATATATATATATATGAGTTATATTTGTATATATATTTTCCACAAATCTTGTTATATTACATCATTTAAGATATCCTAAACCCCGAACTGGGTAATGTCACCGTGCCATAATATTATTTAGTACGCACCTTGTTCTCCCGTTTTCTTACGTGTCACCATGCCATAAAATTTAATCAATAAGATATTTTACAATTGAATGGGCCGAATTAATGGGCCGGATGTAAATAAAAAAAAACATAACCGGGAATTAGTTTGTTTTTGCTTTATGTTCTCGTCTTAACGCAACACTTCACTGAGAAAAATGGCGACGGCGACGGGAAATGCGAGGGGATTCGGAGGCGGTGATCGGACGGCGAAATCGGTCGTCTCCGATCAGACATCTCAGGCCGTGAATTCCACTGCCAACCTTCTTCATCTGATGCGTCAGTCTTCTCCGTCTCAGGTGGTTTCTTCGTTATATGTATACACATATGCTCTATCTGTATTGATTTCTATGTTTTTGGGGTCCGATTGGCGGAATCAGGGTTAGATTCGATGTTTGCGACGAATTTCTGTACTTTTCGCAGTCGAATTTTGGAGGAAGTGGGAAGTTTTTGTAAGGATGTGTTTAGGTATCGATGAAAAGGATCGCATGTTGTTGATTGACAGAATTTCTTATAGAGCTGAATGGAATACTCCGTTTTGGCAAAAAATAATTTAGATTGATCCCCAAATTTTCAAACCTTTGATCCTATCCTGATTCTTCATGTGATGTTTTCCCCTTCATGAGGTGGTTTTGGTCAGTGTTTATGGAGTCTGGGTTCAACTATAAACAGTCAGTGATCTCCAACCAAATGAACATAAAAAAAAACGCCATGGATGATGGTCTTTGATCCAATTTTATCTCTTTGATTTGAGTTTGATTTTCTTTCATTGCGTTTTAGTTCCATTAGGATCTATCTTCTGGTTTTGATGCCACGAAAGGGATGTCTGTGAAATTTTAGAACATAGAACATAAACGATATCGCAAATCGTAGAGTGCATTTATAATATAAATGTATACATAACTATGCGCAGAGTAATGATGAATGATGTCAATATAGTTTTGTGATATTGCATTGTTTCTTCAGATGCTTCATGCCAAAACTCAGTTTAGGTTTCTATTTCACCGGCAGAGCGTTATCCCGCTTCATTTGGATGAACTCTCAAGTCTGATATATTTGACGGGTAGTAGAATTAGGGATACAACAGCAAACTGCATTTAGTAAAACACTGGTCTTCTTTAGTTTACGCGATTTTCTTCAGTGTGCTACTGTTTCGTAACTTATCTAATGCGAAGAGCTAACACGGCTTAAATGTGTACCATCCAAAGGCAAAGTTGGCAAAGCTCCCGAAAAATCTTTTGGCAAAAGCCTCGATGACAAAAGCAACTGGACAAGTATGTAAATTCTCTGGCATTATGTATATATAACATTCTAGCAGACATTTGTTATCTGTACGTATATACTCTTTTGCAGGTGCTTGAACAGCTGCCTCAAGTGATTTCATCCCTGGATGGCCATATAGAAAGCGGGTTGCACAGGTTCATATGCAAATATTTCTATGCTTACTTGCATATGGCTAGAATTTCTAATAGATTCAAGCATATAATATAACCCCGAGTTTTGTTTTCTGCACAGTACTGTTCATCTAAATACCCTAACACAGTGGGTAAATCACACAGATATACCAAAAGTGTCGCAGGAATTTCAGAGATACACCCAAAAAAACATAACACATTATTTTTTTTTTGAAAAGACCGTAATACCCTTAATGAAATCGTGTAATTGTAATTGCAACGTCGCAATTGATTCTAAATACAGTTGTAATTGATTCTAAATATAGTTGCAATTGATTCTAAATGAAGTGGCAAAAAATATATCTTATTAGTTATAAGATTTTTAGTTGTTATATGGTCATAAATACTTCTTTTTTTAGTCGTATATTAGTTATATAACAGTTGTAATAAAGTCGTAAAAAATATAGAAAAAAGGTTATTTCGGACTTTTTGAGTGAAAAAATGGTATAAAATTGAAATAAAAAAATTACTGCTCATTTTGGGTGTATCTCTGAAATTCATGCGACACATTTGGTATATTTAAGTGAATTACCCTAACACAGTTGCTCGAAAACATGCAAAGCACCCAGCTTCGCGCTCTTCGACAATCTAATCTCTTCCCTTTGTACCAAATCCCTCACTCTAATCTTTTTTTTTTTCACTAATTAACGAGATTCCTATTCCGATTCCGAAGCTCGAGGTTCTAGGGTTTTTGTGAACAAACAGAAGCAAGCTGCCGACGTTAAACAAAAAAGGGACGAAATGATCAGTTGGTGATCGATAACCGGTATGATTCGCCAAAAGTTTCTAAACCGGACCGGTCTCGGTTTAACCCATAACCGGATGCAGCGAATCCATATAGCTAAAAAAGGCATCTTCAACCCAAGGGGACTGCGTCGCATTCACGGCAAAGAACCATATTTTGGTTTGGTATGTTCAATTATTTCAGTTTTAAATTTGATTTTTGAATTAAATCAAATTAAAAGTTTAGATATCTATATAATATATTTTGTAAAATCGAATTATTTATATAAGATTTTACCTTTTTTTATATCAAAACTAGATATGTAAAATGAATCTGGTTTGCGAGTTGATTCGCACGCCAATCCATATTTTTCTAAATTAGCTCAAAATATTTGAGTCTAGAAAAAACGGATCAAATGAGTCAGTTCTTCACGAATTGAACTCGTGGTGAAGCAGTTCGACGAGTGACTCGTTTAAAGGCCAAAAAAATTATATTTTTAAATTTTTAATATTTTTATATAAAAATTGTATTTTTATTAGATATTTAGTTTGTTTTATTTAAAATTTTTAATTTTTTATTATATTTTAAATATTTTTTAAAATTATATATTTGACTCGCAGATCGGTTCGTTTGGTTCGCACGTTAAGGCGATCTAGATTGGATTGATCTATTTTTGGCTCGTTAGAAAACGATTTGAACTGAATTGAGTTAAAAATATTCTCAGATCGAAACGAGGTAGACCGAACTGGCCGGTCGAGCCCTTTCTACACCCCTAATCAAAACTCACTTTATTTATTTAACCATTAGAACAAAAACAAACTACACATATTTTTACAAAGAGACAATTTTTGTAGCTAAAGAGAAATTAAAAGAATTAGTGTGAATGCTAACTTCATCATGTCTTCAGACATCTTCCTCGTCGTTGAACACAATAACTTCGACTTCATTGAAGTTGTCTTCTTCTTCTCCTTCTGCTTCATCATCGTATGCCTTTCTCACATCTCCCCAATATACGTAGTTTTCTCGTATGTAACTTCTGAAAAATGTTTGCCAATACACACGAAAACAGAGAAACCGACGAGTTAATCAGTCTGGAAGCATCTTCTTCTGCGTTCAGTTTCTTGTCTGAACAGACGAGAAGATTCAGTGATAAAAAGGAGGAGGAGAGAAGTGTACATTTCAGAGGTCTTGAGCAAGCACGGATCGAAAGGGAAGAACGAATCGATCCTCTCTTTCCTGCCGAATGCATTAGAGGGTTCGGATTCTTGTCTTTCTTCTTCGAACACGAAAGCTTCTGAAAATGTAAAGGCGGCTGCTTTCGCTTGTCTAAGGAACTCGGTCACTACAGATGGGAGGCATACCTATAATCCATACGAAAGATTACCACCGTTCGTTCGTTCGTTCTGCTGAAAACACTAATGAACAATGACGATTTCTTACCGTTAATGGGTTTAGTTTATGTTTTAACACTGTCTCCAACGGCATAAGCAGCGATTTGTGGCGCGGAACGTCGATGATGGCTGCCATTCTGAAGCATAGAACGTACATGATCGCCTGCCATTGTAAAATATATAACCTTTTTTCAGCGATTCGTCGATGAGTTCACAGTGATGTGGCTCTTTTTTTTTTTCCGGGTATCGATGATAAAAAATCATTGTCTTTGTAACCGGAGAAAGAAAAGGTTTATACCTGGCATCCCGAGTAGAAAACCCGATGTGATTCGGGCTTAATATCGTCACCACATTTTCTGCAGTATTCCTCACATGCTTCCACCAACCTAGACAGAGAATCAGATCAAACTGATAAGTGTCCCACATTGGAAAATGAGAGGGATTTGGGTCAATATATAAGTAAGGGTCAAACCTCCACTCTTAAGCTAGCTTTTGTGGTGGAGTTAGGGCCTAAACCTTATTAATTGGTATCAAAGCCTAACTCTCTACTTTCCGGTGGGCCTTTGACGGGCCGTTCTCTTGCGGACATGCGGTCGACTCGGTGGTTGTGGGACGGTCGGGAGAGGAACGATCAGGAGAGGAACGGTCGGGGATGGACCGAGAAGCCGCCAGTGATCGAGAAGCCGCCATCGACCGAGAAGCCGCCAGCGACCAGATTTGCCCCAGTGCCGTGGACGTTGCTGTCTAAAGGGGGCGGTATTGATAAGTGTCCCACATTGGAAAATGAGAGGGATTTGGGTCAATATATAAGTAAGGGTCAAACCTCCACTCTTAAGCTAGCTTTTGTGGTGGAGTTAGGGCCTAAACCTTATTACAAACACTGTGTAAGATTTAGCAGCAGTTTTCTTTATACCTCCTCAAGATGCCAGCGACGGTAGAAGTGGACAGAAACTTTCCACGGGACAAGTAACTAGCGAGATAAGCCACAGCGCTCATCCTGTATAAGAAGAAACCGGCATATATCATAAACCGAGACGTTACTGAAATGATGTCTAACATTGATGAACAGATTGAAAGCTCACCTTGTAAGTGGAGGCTTGCTTTTGGAGAGGAAAATGTCAGCCAGGTTATTGGCAAATCTCACACCGCAGTGATCGGGATCTAGCGAGCAGGCGTAGAAGATCACGAACTGCGTCATAGAAGAGGAAAAAATATAGTCAGGGTTTAAGCCGAGCAACCCGTCTCAACTGTCTGAAAGTATGTGTCTCGACATTCTACCAACCTGGGCAAATTTTTTGTATGTGTTCAGAATCTCGAACGACTTGAACAGAGATTCAAACACCTAAATGTCAAAATCATCAACGAAAGAAACATTACGGGTCGGTCCAAAAGGAAAAGAAATTGATGCTAAAATCAAGAACAATATCTGGCATACCTCTCCCAAATGACCAGAAGTATGACATGATTCGAGATGCTTAAAAGTTAGGACCATCAGATTGTCCAACAATTCACAGACTATGTCTCCATCTAGATTCTTCTGATCCAACGATCCTTTTGGAATCTGCACAACAGATATAAAAGAAATTATCGGTAACGAGATTTAGAATACCGGGCAAGTAAAGATCTATCACCATTCCGATCATTTTGCCAGGTAAAGTAAAGAGTTTCAGCTGAAATATTTGCCGAAAAAAAGAACATAATACACACCATAACATACCTTGTTTTCATCAGCATCATCATCAAGTTCCATAGGACATACGCTTGTACGGGATCCATCTTGTGGAATATCGTCCCATCCAATCTCCACCTATATGGATACCCGATTTTTATAATTGACTAACCGCATTATTCATAGCCCGTATTGTACAAACTTTTGTCTGAAAATCTGAATAGTGTATATCTACAGTCTACTTACATCCAAATCTCGCAGCCTCTCCATCACCATCATCAGAATCATGTCCCCAACGACCTCCCCGATTGAGCTACTCGCCAACTTTAACAAGTTTTCCACATAATCTACTATCAACTGCAAGAAAGAATAGAATTTTTTGTTTCAGTTCATCGTCAAAAGGAACTTTTCGTTTGATTTGCCGAATGTCGGTCCGAAAAATACACTTACATGATCCTTTTTGTGCACTGTGGGCATTCTTTGGGCGAGTATAGGTACCAATCTTGTGGGAGCAAGTGGAACCAAACAATAAATATCCTCAAGAGCTCGGTGGACGAGAGCAAGTGGAGGTTTATTTGAGAAAGACTGAGGCGGGATGAAGTGGTTTATGAGCATATACAGACAAGAGTCAAGATACTTTCCGCTAGTAGCAGCCTGAGAAGGAAAAAACAAAGACCAAAAACGTTAATTTTTACGATAGATTCAAGATAAGCCAATAAAAGGGCATTTGCCGAGTTGCGTACCAGTGATACTATCAAGTCTAACAATGCATTCATGACAGCAGGACCGTTGTTCCACAAACGCATTCCGAAAATCTGAACACGAAAAAAAATAATAAAAAAAAAATCAGAGGAAAAAAAGTGGGAGACTCCGACACATCATAAACTTGATATTGGGAAGTAAGAACTCACGGAGGCAAGAAGAGTCCGATGGTGAATGGCGTCTATGCAAGTAACAGCACCCGATAGAGCCTTCAAGCTTGTCTGAAAAAAGAACAATGCAAATGAAAACGGTTTCAAAAATCGACAATCAGAATGAGAATAAGGGACAGACCGCGATAAGTGCCGGGTCTTTGTCCTGTTCGGAAGCAAGAGATCCTCCGTGGTGCATAAATCCAACGAGCTCGTCATAATCACTGGTATCATTCTGGCATTACAAAGAAAAAGAAAGAGAGAGATTTGGAAATCAAATAGCACAAAACATATATAGAGGTGCATCACCGAAATTCAAGCGTTAGGAAAAGGAAGGAGATCGAGAAATCTTCGAGGGTTGTGAAAGGCTTACCCCTAGGACAGACGCAAGAGCATTTCTAACATAATACACCAACTCTTCGTCCGAGAAATTAACATTGTCTTCTTCACAAAAGCTTGCGTGATCCTTTTTTCCGTCCGCTCCCATTGTTTCTGAGTTAGAGCACAGGCATTAGATGCAGAATGAGAAGTGTTTCTACGATTAAGGCACAGAAAGATCGGATATCCGGATTCAGGATATGAACCCCCAAACATAAGTAACTTGCCTTCAGTCCTCTATTTCCATTTAGAAAAACAACTAGAAAACCGAATTTTCAGACAGGACAGAGACAAAAGCCCCAAGAAAAAGAGTTAGGTTTCTTGAAATAGAAAGCTTTCCAGATCCTCAGAGAGCATAACAAGTAATTACGCATCCAGGAAAGAAGTAAACCTCTCTATCTCCTAAACTAAATTATTGTCAGAAAACAAGAAGAAAAAAATCAGAATCAAAGTTGAGCCCACAAAAACACGAGATCAAATCAGGACCGACACAAACTCAATGTTTTTCTTTAGGGTTCTTTTTTTTTAGCGAGAAAGAGTCCCGCTTCAGGGCACAGATCAAGTTCCGTAAAA